AAATGAGGGGCTACGCGGGCTGATACTGGGGGAATTAAAAATAAACAAAAAAAATAAAGCTTAGAAATCCTACCTGGAGGTTTCTGAGAATTTGGCCACTGTGAGCGCAGTTCCACGTCTAGAGCATGTACTGCTGATCGTTACCGTGCTGCCGTGCTTGGCGAACGTAGTCAGGGAAGAAAGAGAGGGTGTATTCCAATAAGCTTTGTACTGGTTTATTTGCTTTTTAAAAAAAAAAAATCAGCTTCAATTAAAACAGTACGCAGGCACGGCGAAACAGAGCCTCCAGCTGGGAATTAAAACTGACTTCGGTCCCTGGCTTCGTTACCAGCTGCCATGAACGCCCAAGTCCCAGCTTTTGTCACCGCTGGGGCAGGAAGGGCAGGAAGGCTCCTCCCTGCCCCAACACCGTGCCTTGGTTCCTCAGACAAAACCATGCTTCTGTAAGGTTAACACCATCATCTCATCTATTATTATTCTTCTGTTTAAAGGTATTTTCCTCTTTAAAAAGCCAAACACAAATCAAAATGGCTCACTGTGTACCGTTTAGAAATTCACTTTGAATATGCTGGCATCCCCTTTGACTCCTGAATGTCTGAGAAGACCAGCAACCAGTTTCATGTCAGCCCTGCTTCCTGCCTTCAGCCAGCTTCCTGTGACTTGAGGGCAGGTAGGCTTCACATACAGAAGTTCATAAAACTTGTTTTTAAAAAAAAAAATTCGTCAGACCACCACCCCACCTACTCCTGCAGCCCACTCTTGCCACTTCTGGACGTTATTTCCCTTTCTCTCCCCCCACCCACAGTCACAGAAGAGAATCTGATATGGACAAAGCCAGAACATACGCAGAGGTAAAAATACAAATTTTATTCAGAGCACTTAGTGTATTTACAATAGAAAGTTTCTCTCTGAGCAAGGGATGAGAGACTAAAATAAAAAAGTCCACGTTACAAATGTGTGGACAACCTGCACCTGATGCAGGCTAATTGATTTTTGCTACTTCTGCTTGACCCAGGGTAATACCCGTGAGACCGCGATGGCGAGAGCTTGGAGATGGTGCCGAACGGCTCTCACACCCAAGCAGCAATCACAGAATGCAGTCCAGGAAGTAGTGTGAAGTTATTCAACAGCTGCTAAAAAAAATAATATGTATGTACACACACACAGTCCTATCTGCCGTTAGATCAGATTCAGCGAATCGTTCGGACATGGATTAGCAGGTGACACAAGCCTGTGGACCTGTCTGGAAGCATCGATTTGCAGAGGCACTCACACTGCCAGGTACACAGGCACCTGCTCCCCCAGACGCACGCTTTCCTTTCCCCCCTGCACCTGGACAAACACGCAGGCAGGTGTTTCCTTAATGCTATGTTACATGGTTTCCAGGTACAGGGGAAAAAAAAACAACCTTGAGAAAAAAGCACCAACCCTGGCTGGCTCGAAATTCTTATTCCCCTCGAACCTGAGGGAGACGGGGGACGTGGGAAGGATAACGCCCTCCCGTTCCTCACGCAGCCAGCACTTCTGCACCTCCATGACTGTCCTGCCACAGCTGTAACGGGCTGGCACCGGGAGGGGGCAATGCTCTCCCGCTCCCTGAAACCGGCCCGTCCTCCCACCACTTCCCTCGAGTCAGAGTTGGCAATCGAAGGGCTGCAATGTGAGCCAGTTCCACTGTCTGATCTTGCAGAAAAACAGATCTGCAAAAAGTGAGGGAGTACTGCAACATCCGAACAGCCAGCTGAACCAAGTCACCCTACAGGTTCACCCACTGCGTGGTGGGTGGAGCACCTGTTTCAGCAACAACTTGTCCATAGAGTAGCTGATCTATCAAGTCACTCTGAGCTCCTGTTTTCATCTTGGTCAGAGTCCACACACCACTTCCTTTATGAGATGCTTTCCCTCCCTGGGAAAAGGTTTAGTTTAAAGGTGCTGAACTACATGGTGGTTGAGAAGCGAACCTCAGCCTTCCTCCATCATCTGCTGCTGTCTCCAACAAACCCAGCTGAGGAGTGTCAGAAAGACAGGGAGGTATGGGAAAAGGAAGACAGGAAAGGAAGGGAGTTATGATCCTCTCTTAACAGTCATGGCAAGGGCAACTAAGGCAGAGATAGATTAAAGATGTCTGTGGAGGCTGCAAGGTTGTGGAGAGTTCTGGTTCAACAAAGCCTCTTGAATAGCTTCACTGCAGCCACTCAGCTCCATCTGGTTGAGAACACAGCTGATGTGCTCCACAGTTGCAGCATGGCCCATCTGCAGTTTCCACAGTCTAAGCATTTCATACTGGGCGTCTCGAAAACACCGATGCTCCATCTCAGTTCGCTCTAGATCATAGTCGCTCAGACCCAGACGCCTCACAAACTCTTTCCACCGAGATGGCAGTACGTGATCCACCACAGTGTAGAGAATAACAGGGTCTGTGAAAAGAGAAGAAATAATGTGTGAGAACCAGGATTCTGCAGCCTCAAGGAGAATGTGAGTGCTGGATGGTGCCCTGGGACCATGCATTGCCCCATACTGTTCAGGTCTTCTACAGAGCAGTCACACAGACTCGTGTGATGTCCAGACTTGCTCTTATCCCTCAAAAAGCAAGGGGAATGCTTCTATATGCTCTTGTGTAAGGTTGTGAGCAGAGCTGAGCACACGTGCTTAGAGCCTTGCTGCCACATGTTCCTGCCAAAAGAACACTCTGGGTCACCATCCTCGAGGCATTAAGACTGACGGCATGTCACCACATATGACAATCCATTAGGCTGGCAGGGAAAAAGGACAACAGAAAGGCCTTGTGTAGATGTTTAGAATGTACAGGCTCTGGGCACACTTCTGCCTTTGTGCTGTGCCATACACAAAGTATACACACAGGTCACGTACACCAGGTAAGGTCTGTCCAGCATCCTCCTCGCTGCATTGCACCATCAGGTTCTCATCTGCCTGGGGAAGGAGGGAAGGATGGGGGAGTTTCACTTACTGTCTGGAAGCTGCGTCCTCCTGGCAGGTCTCACACAGTCTGGTAACTCCTGCGAACTTTGCGGCGGAGGCGCAGGTGGTGGTGTTGCATTCACTGACAATTCTGTTTCCTTCTGGGACTCGGGAAGAAGGATGCAAATTTCACTTTTTCTTACCTCAACCTGAAAGACACATTTTCTTGGTCCAGAATCACTCGCAGCAGCACAATACACCTGTCTCCTTCAAGGAACCACTAGCTTTATATATTAAAATTTATTCAAGATAGGTGGGGATCAGGTGCTGAAGTTTTAATTCTTCCTGTATGCCTTGTCTGAGCAGAAGGCACCAAGCATTTCTTTCCAGCAGAACCCAAGGAGTTTAACCCTCTTTTGGCTCAAAAACTGGTAGTCTGAAAAAAATACTTCTATACAAAATCAGGTAAGGCTGGGACCCACCACCACCACCCTTCTAGAAGCTCCACATGCCACCTTTCCCATCAGCCTTCTCTGTAAGGCTGTGGAAATCCCACCTCAACTACTGCTTGGGCCCTCTTAATTGCAGAACAACATTGGACCTGAGAAAACACTGTGAAGCAGCACTGAGAGGCTTGTGGGGTCAAGATCTGAAGTGAAGTAAAATTAGTTAAAACCTCCAAGCTTGGAGTATATAGGGAAAAAAAGGGATTAAGGCCCAGCTAAAAAAAAAAAAAAAAAAAGCATCCAGGAAGAAAAGAGCAAAAAGCCAGGAGTTTGAAAAGCATCCTCTAGAAGAGGGGAAGTAGAATGAAGTAGAATGTTAATGGCTCCACCTCTACAGAAAGAGACTTCTGAATTAAACAGCCCTAATACTCAACTCATTTGAAAATACAAGGCCTGAAAACAGCCCATGGGGTAAAAAATATTACTCTGGATCCCAGGCTAACATAGTTGAAAGCAGAATGAAAGCTCTTCTACCCATCAGCTTTGCTCACCTCAGATACTGGTTCCTTGGTTGTCTGTGGCAAAGAAACTTTAAATGAAAAAAAGAACAAAGAAAGTAGAAATTATTTTCACTTCCTCTCGTCCCAGAGGAAACAGGAAAGCAGCTATTCACAATCCTGCCCTCAAAAAGGCTTTATAGCAAAATACACGTCCCAGCAACGAGCTCACACGCACTTCCAGTCACAGCTACGGGCATGGCTGCAGAGTTGTAAGAACTGCACCAGTAAGCTTAGCTATCGAGTTCTCGTGTTCCTCTGGCCTTGCAGCAAAGCAGAGCGACAGGATCCCACTTTTTCCCCTCACATCTGCACACATTCACACACACACAGAGAATGATATCTGTCCCAATTAGTATCACTGCATATGCTGCTGTACTCACCACAGGAGTAGAAAGATGATGCTATCCCATTTTTCTGAACCAGCTTCACTACTTTATTTACAATGTAGAGGACAGAGATAACTCCAAATATTGCAACGATGATGCCAAGGACAAGGTTCCCATCTGGACAAAAGGGAGAGGGCAAATGAGTGAGGGAATCAAAGGAAGAGGTAAGTGCTAGAGGAATAACAGCAAGTGAAGATGTGCAAATGGTAGGGAGAAAAAGAATAATGGTTTGAGAGAGTGGAGAAAATAACACTTTACAAAAGGCATTAACAGAACAAAAGCCCACCCTGGAAAGGTTCCACTGTCCCTCAGTTCCACCAGTACTTACTCAGCCCAGATGAAGTCGGTGAGGTAGTCACTGGGCTATGACACTGCAAGCAGTCTTCTCCAGTGCAGCTGAAAGAGCAAATCAGAGAGGTGAGAATGCATGAAATGAAACACCAGCCATTAGCGACAATCCTACGTAACAGGCAAGTCAAGATGAGCCTGCACTGCAGAGCAACGCAGTGCGGCTAGTGACTTTGGGTTCTTAGTGGGCTGATACCTACACATAGAAGACCAGGGGTGTCAGAGGGGATTGCCCTCTGATTTGCCCCAGAAAAGCAGAATGTTGTAAAGATATGTCAAGATGGACAGAGCCTTCAGAAAAATCTCCTCCTCTGGTGGTGCCTGTGTCTGCTGTCTCTCCTGCTCAGTGGACAGGCATACACAGGAAAAAAGCTCACCTGTTGCAAGACTTGCAAACATTATTAAGTGTCAGGAAGAATCCAGGCTTGCACCTGCAAATTGTGTCTCTGTCCTTTGAACCTGTAGAGAAAAGAAGAAACTGTTGCCATAATCTGCACAGAGAAGAAAATAAAAGGAAAAAAATCCACTCCAAGATGGGGAAGATTATCCCTCTGAGCTTGGAGAACTGCTTCTGAAGAAGAGCAAGAAGATTCGGTCTGAGGACAGGGTTGGGGGAGGACAAAATAATAAAAAATAAGGGTACCACTGTCCTGGTAGGTCAGGGGCCTCTGTAGAGGCTTGGAAAGGGACTAAAATTACAGTGCAGCTGAAATTGGTCTAACGGATAATGACGGTTCCAGTGCAAAAGTGGGGAAAGTCACTCAAGTTCAAGCGTGACAGGAAGGGGAAATCACATTAGTCAGGCAAAGATGAGAGAGAAGTGGTCCCTAAGCAGCTGGGAGTGGTGAGGAAGTCAGTTCAGGGCAGGGAGAAATCACTTCAACCCACGGGACACATTCGCTTTTGTGATCTGCTATGCTGCGAGTGGAAGGGGTAAGAAATGAAAGAGCTGTTGCTTCTAAGGAAGTCACACTGTGGAGACCGAGTAACACAGGTGTGGGGGGGAGCAAACGAGAATAGTGAGGGAAGGAAATAAAAGCTGCATCAGGGAAGGGAAAAAGGTACTAGAACAAGCAGCATGTATTCTGTGGCAAGCAAGGGACAGGGCTAAAACAGTTCTACATCAGCCAAGAGGGAAGGAAATTGCTCAAGGACGGTGTACGATGATGACCCTCGAGGACAGGCATAAGTGCGGAAACAGAGAGAAAGGTTACCGAGCACCAGAGGGAACGCGTTCACCAGCGAGACAGCAAGCCTCACATTAGGCAGGGCAAGAGATGGGAAAGGGATCAGGAGAAGCAGAATTCATGAAGAGGGGACAGCTTTCGGAAAACAAGGTAAGGAACATTTACGGGAAATTAACAGAATTAGACTACAGCACAGAGGAGAGGGCAGCAAGCAGTATTTGATTAGGATCTCTGATTCCTGACTGGAGATTAGGCAGCTTGGGACAGCTAACATGGGTGCTTCTCCCACACGCCTGCACCATCCCCAGGTCACACCCAATGCCACTGGGTACAGTTCAGCTTTACCTGAGCAGCTCTTTACTTTAAAACTCTGCACAGTATGCTGTGGTGGTTCACCAGCCGACTGGCAAACAGTTCAGCTGGGCACTGGGACCAGTCGTATTTTCAGCGATTGTACTCAAAGTGCTTCCAGCAGTTGCAAAGAGAAATACAATGACCATCAGGAGAAAGACAAAAATAGGAAGGCAAAGGGAGAATCTGCTCTAGAGCATCATAAAGACCTTGCTTCAGTACGTGCAAGGCAAAGGTACCAAAATTAAGTAGAAAATTTCTCCTCACAACAGCCCAAACCAAGAAAATGTTCAAGGACAAAAGGAAGGTAGAAACTGTGACAGAAAACAGGTATTGATGCCAAGGCAGGCAAAAAATGGCAGTCTTTCTGGGGAAAGGCAGCAGGCAATACCAAGAGTTGTTCCAAAACTACAATCACTTCAGGGCAAGGCATTGCAGGGTCCGGAGAGCACACAGAGGGCTGCTGATGTCTGCCCTAGTACAGTATATCCGTACTGGAGCCATATCCGTGCCATACTCACAGTTGGCAATAATCCCATTGACACAGGAGCTGCAGTTCCTACACTGGAAGAGATCGGACAGGCCAATCTGATATTGATTCTTCCGACAACCGCACACGGTATCTTGCTTTGGGGTGCAGGGGGACTCTACTATCTGCTGGAATTCTGAGGAAAGAAAGGAGAATTGATTATTCCAATCTCTTCCTTCACCTTCAGCTGACAGCATTGTTATGATAGCAGGTGTTGTTATCCCCTAATCTTCCCAGAAAAAGGCTAAAAAGGCCTGCAAACTGTGCCTCAGACTGTACTAATTTCTGTCCTTCTGCCCCTTCAATTGCTTACTTTTCCAAGCTTCCTCCACCAGCTCTCCATCCCCTCGAGCACCCAACCTGCCACTACCACTCATTTTCCTCAAATCCTACAGATAACTCACCTGCACGGCAACGTGTACACTGGAAACATTTAGACATGGTGTTATCAACAGCTGTGAACGTGCCATTAGCACACGGAAGACAGACAGGTGCCTGGTCAGGCTGATCACAGTCTTTTTCTTTGTAGGTACCTGCAAGAAAAATCACTTAACAGAGCTCTAACAGGAAGGCAAACGTGTTGTCATAGGGAGGATGGGAGTCACTGATTCCTCAGTGAAATTCTGATGGTGTAAGGACTGAGCATGCTTCCTCTCACCAGCGTAAAGGACACTAACAGTCCAAAAGAGTCAAGGAATATGAATTTATCCAGGTAGGGACAGGTACCAAGGAAAGGGAGCGCTGATGTAGATGTAGGACTGAAACAGTTTATGGAGTGCTGGACAGGGAAATGCCTCTAAGGTGAAGGTCACTATTACTTATTTTACTTACCTGCATGGCACCTCATACAGCAGTGCGTCTCTCTGGGATGTAGGTATTGTCCCAGATGACACTGCACCTGCCTCTTTTCTCTCCTCACGGGGTTAGAGGGGTCTCTTCCATCCAAAGCTGCCCGATGGACTTGCAGTGTATATGGCACTGGAGAAATTTCTACAGATTCCTTCGTCAACATGCAGACAAATGTCAGGATAACCTGTAAATACAGAAGGAGAGGGAGAGAGAGGGAAAGAAACAAGGTAAGAAAACATCATATCCCCTTGCAGACAGTACAGCTGACTTCAGCACTTAAAATTAAATGTTATTATAACAGTGAGTTCAATTGACTTGACCAATTCTAGTATCAGGACCCTCCACAACAAAAGTGTGTGGGGAGATTATTTACAAAAAAAACCCCCAACAAACCGATGCCTGTCATCTGTGTTATTAATACACCATACAAATGTGACAAACTGGTTGTATATAAAGCAAGTAATTTTAATAATGTGCAATTTATGGATGGAATGCCTTGAAAAAGCTGCATCTTGCAAGAAAGTTACTCAAGAGCAAAGGAATCATTTTATTAAGGCAGGCACTAAGACAGACCATCCAGAAACAGTTTCAGAGAGAAGGCAGCATCCAGGACTTGCAGTTTGACTGAACAAATAAACGAAAAGGGAAGTTTGAAATAAGAAGGCAGAGGAGGATCTCACTGCTTGCAAAGTACAGAAAAGCTTCCAAAACTCCTCCTGAGCAAGCCAGCCCTAGAAACGTGGGAAAGTTTGGGTTTCAACTTCTCCCCATCAAACATACATTCTTCCTTTTAAACTGCAGCTGTTTATTCAGTCTGAACAGTCTGCCACAAAAATGTGCACTTTTTTCTTTTGTTACTTCCTTTAAGATTTACCTGTTATTTTTCATTTTAAAGATGACGATTGTCAAGAATTTTAACAGAAATATTAAGATTTGCATGACTATAAGTCTGTGCACACACACATGTACATACATGGGAAGGAACAGCAGAACAAAGGGTTAAAAGAACAGCTTGTACTAATAATGAAGGACACCATTCCATGGACATTGTTTTCAGCACACTATTCCCAGCAGTGAAATTGAGTAATGTGCTGTCTATGTCATGGCCAAAAGGTCTACATTCTGGTAAGACTGCAACAGAGATGACTTCAGCAGAAGGCCCTGCACTGGGAGGATGGTAACAAGATTGCAGCATATCACAGACACGATTCCTTTGCCTCTTGGCCCAACAGAAAAACAGACCCTAGGCATGATTTTCAAACGTGCATTCAGACAAGGAAAAAAAACCCCATACACTAACAAAAAGGTAGGGGGGAAGAAAAAAAAGAAAAAACAAAACCAGGAAACAACTTGGCCCAAGATTTACAGAGCCTGAAGTCAGCAAGTTTCTACGGCAAAGGCCCATCCCATACCAGGTGACGACTCCTGAAGGGTATGACGGACTTGTCCAAAAACTAGTTTGTAGTGCCATGAAGAACCCCAGCAGCACGATGAAGACTTGACAGCCAGTGTCCCTTGTCGCCTGCGTTGCATGCAAGTGATCCTGGCCACACTGTCTGGACATACACGTGTTGGCGCTTCTAAGTACGTCACGGAGAGTGTGTGCCAGTGTAGTCTGTGCATCAGATCATGCCAATGCATGAAAACCTACTAATTTTTTTGCAAGTAAATACAACCCTGCCCCATTCATACAATCTCACACTGAGTTTTACTACACTAACTTCCCTACATTGTAATGTTTTCCCAGCTTGCTTTTTTGAAAGTGGTAAGACGCCTAGGTGTACATGCACAGCTTCACAGTTCCATTTCTTTTTGTTTTTTCAGCTAGGAGAGCTATAGCAAAAGCAAAGTAAACCAATAAGGGTAAACCACAACGCTGATAGCAATATTGTGGTTGCAAACTTAAGAAAAGATATGCAGAACGAGATGGCTATGACAGCCCCATGCTGTCCTATTTCCCTCTCAAAATTAAAGCCTTAGGGGAGAAAGGTACATACAGGAAAGCAACTTCAAACCTCAGGAAGGATAGGACTCCGCAACTCTGACAAAGCAAAACCCCATTTTTCAGAGAGCTCTGACATACAAAGACATGTTCAACAGACCAGATGCTAAAATGGTGAACAAGAAAAAGAGAACCACATATTTAAATCGCTATTGTCTCAGACTTAATTAGCTGACCACAGGATAAATGCGAGCACTCTAACAACAATTCGGTAAGAAATAAAATTTGTTTCAGCAGCTGACAGTCTTACAAGACTGCTTGCTTGCAGGAAAATGGGTGAAAGATCATTCACGCAGATGGTCTGACAGCAACAATAATAAAATCCTGATTTACTTGCCAATGATTAATCTCCTGACATGGGAACATATACTGCCAGCCCTTAAGTCAGACAAGTCAGCAACAGAAACAGAGGAAAACATCAAAGATCAAGCCAAAAACACACATAAAATTGGCCAGATATACCTTCAAAACCAAAAGAAAACAGGGCAGGTGTTTTTCGTTTTTCAGATTAAGTGAAAGCTTGCCTGTAAGTGTAATCAGACCAGAGTTAACACACTATTACTAATCAAAATCTGAGGAACAGAGTCACAGACCACAAGTGACTCACAAACCAATGACTTGGCATTCCAGAAAAATCATTCACATGTCAGAAAAAAAAAAACACCACCATCTTAAGCATCTCTCCAAGCCATTCATCAGTACACTGATTTATACCAGTGACAGACTCAAAGTTCAGGAAATACATGAAATTAGAACAGACTATTTCAGTTGGAAGGGACCTACAACAATCATCTAGTCCAACTGCCTGACCACTTCAGGGCTGACCTGACGTTAAAGCACGTCGTTAAGGGCATTGTCCAAATGTCTCTTCAACACTGGCAGGCTTGGGGCATCGACCACCTCTCCAGGAAGCCTGTTCCAGTGTTTGACCACCCTCTCGGTAAAGAAACGCTTCCTGAAGTCCAGTTTGAACCTCCCCCAGTGCAGCTTTGAGCCATTCCCACGCATCCCATCACTGGATCCCAGGGAGAAGAGCTCAGCACCTCCCTCCCCACTTCCCCCCAACCCCAGCAAGCTGCACAGAGCAATGAGGTTGCCCCTCAGCCTCCTTTGCTCCACACTAGACAAGCCCAAGGTCCTCAGCTGCTCCTCACAGGCCATGCCTTCCAGCCCTTCCACCAGCCTGGCTGTCCTCCTCTGGAGGCACTCAAGGACCTTCACACCCTTCCCAAATGGTGGGGCCCAGAACTGCACACAGAACTCGAGGTGAGGCCACATCAACGCTGAATACAGTGGGATAATCACCACTTTTGGCAGGCTGGTTGTGCTGTGTTTGATGCACCCCAGGACAGGCTTTGCCCTCTCTGCTGCCAGGGCACGCTGCTGACTCAGATTGAGCCTGCTGCTGACCAGCACCCCCAGGTCCCTTTCTGCAGGGCTGCTCTCCAGCCACTCCTCTCCCAGTTTATACTTGTGCCCGGTGTTACTCCATCCCAGGTGCAGAATCCAGCATTTGGACCATTTACCATTGCCCGATGCTCCAATCTATCTAGATGCCTCTGCAAGGCCTCTTGTCCCTCAAGACAGTCAACAGCAGCTCCCGGTTTGGTACCATCAGCAAACTGGCTAATGGTGCATTCAACTCCTGCATCCAAATCATTGATAAATATATTGAACAGAACTGGCCCTAAAATTGAACCCTGAGGAACACCACTGGTGAGTGGTTGCCAGCCAGCTGTAGCCCCATTCACTAAGCACTGAAGCCTCAAGTCATTGATACTAGCTCACCAAGGCAAAGTTTAGAGGTCTTCTGCAACTGAAATAAGGTGGTTTACCATTGTTAGATTTACAACATGCTCAGATTCCACTCACCAGGAGAAAGAACTAGTACCTACTAACCAATGCTGCACAGAAAAGTGGACAGCATGTATTACTTAAGCCAAATGCTAATTCAAACCAAACCACATCATGCACACCACATTCACATTTTTAGTGAGCGACGATTGCCCGGGGCGGGGTGGCAGTCAGTGGAAACTCTAGGTTTTACTTTTGAAACTGCTGTAGAAATAAACAAATTATGGCAGATGAAAACCAGAATGCTGCTTGCTTAAATCATTCTACCCCTCTGGGTGACAGCTATGTGCCCCACACATTCTCCTCACATGTGAGGCAACCCTATTTCCTTCTCATGTCTCATGCCAGCACTTACTGCCCAACAGCTACAGTGAAAAAAAAAAAACACTGCACAAGCCCAAAAGCTCTTCTGTGCAAAATTTTGGCAGCTGTGACAGGAGTTAGGATACCCCTGCACCACCTTCAACCTCAAATATTCTTGAATTACTGCCACCGCTACAATTCATACCGTTGCTGTAGCTGCTGCCTCACCAGACCACGCACAGAGAACTGCAAGTGAGGTGACATCTGTGCAAGATTTAGTGAAAGAAAGAAAGAAACGGCAAAGAGAAAAGTTAAGAATGCCATGGGTCTCTCATGCACTGTAGTAGCCCTGCTGTGACCTGCAAGGCTGCTTGCCCTCAGGGAGCAGGGCAGAGGAGTCAGGTACAGCACACGCAGGTGTTTGACAGTATCACGGGAAAGAGAGGATGGAGAGGGTGCTGCTGGGAGCAAGATTCCTCTCTCCTAGAAGGCCAGTGGATGCCTACAAGTGTCCGGAGTGGACTGAGGCTGGTCACAGAAAGCAAACTGAGTGGGAAGGGGAGGATTAGCATTAGACAGGTGGGACGCGATTCCTGCCCCGACACACAGCGCCTTGAGACCCCGCGCCTGTTCACCCGAACTAACAGGAATGCAATACTTGCTGGAGCAGACGCTCGGGTGTTAGTAATCCAAACAATTCAAATATTGCCCATCACTAGGCTACTGTTTAAAACAGTTCCAAATTCATTATTTCTAGAGTTTAAATCTCCTGAATACAAAAGTATAAAGATGAAACTTTCACAATAAAACAATTTTATAAAACCAAATGCGTTGTTAAAATCCAGAGATTATAAGGCTTACTCCTTTTTTTGTACACACCTAAATATTTATCATGTAATAAAGTGCTTCCCCACCAACAGCTTATTCAACTGCTTCTCTCAAAGACTTCCACTTTGCAAATTCAATTTTTAAACTAAAGAACTACCTGCAAATAAAAGGCATTACAAGTCCTTAGAATTTCTCATATATTTAATAGAAACTCCTCTTTGCTTAAGAGTTCTATGTGACACATAACAATGCACAAGTAATCCACATAAGTCATCTGTAAGCCTTTTAGGTGAGTCATAAAAAATTAGCCAGCTTGGAAGTTCAGAAGGAAACAGACATCCTGCTCAGAGTAATGGGCTACCAAAGAAATCAGGGTGCAAGACCACCCTTATGTTCTTTGACTGCTTCTGCCATTTCCAGAAGCTCTTTGAGGTTTGCATTTTTTCAATCTGCTATACAGAGATGCACGGGAAACCAGAACTTCTGCTTTATACATTAAGAAATGTGTATTAAAGCAACATTTACAGGAAGCTTTTCTCATTGCTCATTAAAACCTGGAAAGGTCAAAAGAAGAATACAAGAGCTATTATTATAAATAATCCTCCATTTTATGAAGATCAGATGGAGGAAATGGTGTATTCTAGGCATTGTATAAAACCAAGAGACTAATAGCTTTCATGCAATGAAGAAAGGTCTTAGAAATCTTGCTTTAAAAAAAACCCAAAAACTGTGATTTATCTATAAAGATTGTGAACTTCACATCATAAAATGTGTGTATATATGCAGTCTATAGTCAGAAGTTTTTACTTCATATTAGCAGAGATAAATTAAGAGTGAAGAAGTCAGTAGGTAATCACAACTGTAAAAAAAGAACTTATTAATTTTTCTTTGGAGGATACAGTGGTGAACACTATGTCAGAGTCCCGAGTCACAGACAGCCCCCCCCCCCCCCCCCCCCCAGCCTGTGTTCAGGGCTGAGTCGGACAGCAGAGCTGTACAGCCTCGCATCAGAGCACCACTGGAGCAAGAGCTGTGAGAAGCCTGGGCGAGGGCATCCCCCTTCAATCCCCAGCTGATTTTCAGCTGGGCACAAGCTCCTGGCTCTCGCCCGCGCTGTGCCACAGCCATGCTCATGCCCCTCAACAGTGACTCACCAGGCGAACTTTTTAAGAGTCAGATAATCGTGCGTGCCGAATCCTGTTCATTGGAACTGTTGTACTCCTGTTCGTTTTAATAGAGAAATGTAGCGGCATCACTTTGAGATGCACTTTCTACTGTCAGGTTTGAGACTGCAACAGAAAGGCCTGTGTTACCAAGGGTTCAAAGAAAGCACTCAGTTGTCCAGGGATGAGGCCAAGACTATGGAAAAGAATACCAGACATCTGTCCCAAATAAAAGCAATGCCCCCTCGTGATGACAAAAGAAAATGGATAAGCAGGGAACTAAGTGACAAAATTGGTTTTACCCCAAATAACATTAGCAATGCAGAAAACAGATTACTTAATAAAAAGTACGGGAAACGCATCCAAACCGACAGTACTGATTACCTGAGAGAACTTCAGTTACCACATAACTGAAATTGGCACAGACCCAGATATCAGCATGTTCCATCTGGCTAGCAGTGGACGGTCACCAAAAATAGAAATTAAAATTAGATTCGCAAGCGGATAAAAAGTGGAACAAACCTGGTTGGACAAAGCAATCAGAAATGCAATCAAATGCTATGAATTATTAGGAAAAGATTGGAGAACAAAACAGAAAGTGTTGTTATGCCAATGTATATATCCATAAAGGTTTGAATCCAGACTGTAGTTCTGGTCCCCAAACCTGAGAACATAAATTAATCCAGATACAATACAGAGGAAGGTAACAAAGATGATCAGTGGTACAGAATGGCTTCCACAAGGGGAATGATTAAAAATATTTGCCTGTAAAAGAGACAGCTGAGCAGAGGATACTACAACAGGCTCTAAAGTCACCAATGCCATGGAGAAGGTGAACTGGAATCACTGTTCCCCATCTCTTCCAAAGCAGGAACTAAGAGGCATCATACAAAACAAGCAGGAGACAGGTTCAAACGAAATACAGGGAGGTACTTTCTTCAGCCAACACATAGCTGAGGTGCGGGACTCCCTGCCAGAGTGCTGGGGGTGCCAGAAACGCACCTGGGATCCAAAAGTGATCATTACACCCATCAGCAGAATAAAAAACACACTCAGGGGTCCAAAATATGAAGACACCATTTTGACTCAGGAATTCCCACAGTCACAGATCACTGGAAGCGAGGAAAGTATTTTTATTTTTCATTGCTGTACGCTTGCCCTGCTCTAAAACCCTTGGTAGACTGTTGGCCGCTACTGGAAATGGGAAGGTAGACCCAACAGTTCCTTCTTACAATGCACTTGGTGGCTTTGCTTTCAATTTTTATATAACATAGCATCTAACTTCAAAATCGCAGTTCCTCCCTTTAACTTCAAAAGGAATCAATGCCAGAAGCACCCTGCTGGTTATTTTGTCTTTTTTCTTCATGAAACTGAACTGCCTTTGATAAATGAAACTGCCGAGTGGTTTTTTGGTTTAGTTTGGATTTTTCGTTTGTTTTGGTTTTGTTTTTTTTTTCAAACGAGGTAGAAAACATAGCAGCCTCAGCGAGGACAGCTGCCATTTTTTCCACTGTGAAAGTTCGGAGTGTGCAGGGAAAACACAGAGGACCTGGAAACGAGGTTAAGGACACGTAAAAAGAGCAAATGCATGGAAACAAGCTACAGGAAATTCTGAAGAATCAGAGGAAACAAAAGAATCAGAAAACTAGAAACGGGGCATCAAGGCAGTAAGAAAGGCCACGAGAGCAAATGTAGGATGATGTGGAAATTCAATGGAAGATGGAAAGGCGTGCAACAGAGTGAGAATTGTAACACTGAAAAAACTAGTATGATTTTATGGAAAAGATAAACCTTACTTGTGACGAGCGAGTGTGGTCTTATTGAGAACATGTAAATAGGAGGGGGAAAATGTCCTCAAAAAGTAAGAGAAATCCCACTCAAGGACACTCTTCCTCCAGCGTATTATTTAACTGAAGAGAATATAATGAATTTGGGGAATCTAGTGTGGTTTTTTGTGCATTTTATTGGCAATAACATGGATAACAGCACACACAGAATCTGAATTACAGCAAAATATGTGCACCACTGTACTGAAGTCAGAAATAGTGTTTTGCAGGTTTGCTAACTGCTTTGAAATCTATATGTAAGTCAACAGTTTATGTATGCTACCTAGGTCCTGAGATGGTAAGTGATTCACAGTTAGAATCAAGGTGCAAAATGCACCTACTCCACAGTTTTAGTTGTGTTGTCCTGCCAGTGCTAGCTGTAACTCTATTACCTGGTTTCCAAAAGCTTCCAAGTGTGAAAAATAGAACTTCTGGAAGAAGGTAACTCTGAGTAGGGCAGTCACAACTTCTTGACAGCAAATAAACCAACACTACAAGCCCAGTGCAGTCAAGTGCAAGTGTTTGTTACTAGAATGCTCAGGTATTTAGGGATAAAAGGTTTGATCCTGTAACTTCCGTACCAGAATTTACAGCCATGTCACAACGCTAAGTGACATCACAACTTTTATCACACATCGGCTGATACTGGACGATCATTCACCTCTAGCCGTCAGGATATTCATAACACTCAAATTTCTTTCACGAGTGACTTTTTCACCCGCAAAATTACAATGAAGAGCTTAAAAATCTTGACCTAAGATACCCAAGAAAGCTAAAGAAGGTTTACCGCAAAGGTGAACTCGCTTTTAAACAAATCCCGTGGTTTGGGGCGTAGGTACAGCCCACCACTCCTTGTTTAAACAACCGCAGAACGGCGACTGAGCTTCCCCAGCTTCAGCCACAGCA